GGGTCAAATGATACATAAAGGACCCCACCACACACATATATATATATATATATGTATATGTATGATGGAAGATGAAGGCCTCGGTCGGAATACGAGCTCAACCACAGGATGTTCTCTGAGGGGATGGACGTTGACAAGGATGGGCCATGTCGTGCCGGTGGAGAATACCGAAGCCCTGTCGTCTAGCTCCTTTATCCAATGACATGACATCCGTCTGCTCCTCTGAACGACACCATAGGTTCAGTTCGACTTAAACCGCATAAAACCACTCCAACTGCTTCTTATGCAAACATGAAACAGCAGGAATCCTGGCTGACTGCAACCCCAGGCCCAAAAACCCATAAACTCTGAACCCTACACCCAAAACCCTGGCTTGACTTGCAAAAATAAAAACCGTCTCGCACTCCGCGCAAGAAGCGGGCGCCAGGGTGGAGTCCATTGAAGGAGCCGGGCTTGAGAAAAAATGCGTTCAAAAAGAACACCCCAGAGCTTGGGCTGCTGTTGTAGAGGTATGTTTAGATGAGCAATCATCTCATCTGTAGTGGCCCCGGCAAACTGTAACTAACTATGTCATACTATTGGAGGGTTTGCCGCTAGCCACAATGTGTGCTACGCCTCAATTTCTCTGGGGAGCAGCAGTAGCTATGCTCGCCTCTCGTGTGTGGCACCGCCTTGTGTTTGATGGTTGAAGGCTTGAATGCGTAAACAAATCGGCCCAAACTTCTAACCTTGATTCGATGATCCTCCGGGTGGGGTCTTGCCTGTGTGGGCTCGGTGCTGCATTTCGGGTTGTTCTAGGTTCTCGGCATTTGCCCTGGACGAACAGTTTGCGCTACCTTCGGTGGTCGAAGTGCCTACCTACGGGGGGTTGTGTCCTGTACACTCCTGTCTAGTAGATGCTACCTAGTGAAGTCTTGAAGTTTCGGCGATGATGCACGAGGCGTGGTGATAAGCCTTGAGCTAATAGACAGGAGCCTACTGCATCCAATTCCTGTTAGAGGAATTGTCAAGGCTCGCTGTCGAAGCATTCCAGCCGGAGTGGGAGGCAGTAGGTGGGAAACCTCGGAACCGTTTTAGCATCATTCCCGCTGGATGCAAGAGAGGTTGGGAAGTCGCGGCGGCGATGCTGCACGACATTTCGCACAGCGCCGTCGCCTCCGAAACGGTCCAGACTGACTTTCATCGCACGTCCGGTGCGCAGATGATGGCTTGACAGATTTCACAGACGGGTCTTCCCCCAAAGGCCCTAGAGCAAGTTGGGGTTCAGGTTCGAAGAATACGGGTAGCCACCCTCCCTTTGTTAGATCAAAAAACACGACCCGAGCCGCAAGGCCCAGGCAGCCTCAAAGCCTCAGAAGTCTAGGAGGTTCTCGGTCTTGGCCGCAGGAGCATCAACTCCTAAGCAGCAGCCAAGTGGAGGATCTAGTCGCTCCCTTAATCTTGGAGCCTGAACAGTTACCAAGACCATTTTTCGGTTCCATGTTTATAGCTATATAGTATAAGATGGACTTCTGTGTGTGTTTGCCTTTGCACACCAGCCTCGCTCACGTCACATCTCACACGATGCCAAGTCACGATGCAATACCTCGCATACACATCCGACTGCGTTTTGTGTTTCCTAAACCTTGAACTTAACCCAAGGGCTCCTATGTAGTTCCTTTTTGGATAGTAATAGTATGCCATTGTTCGTTACCAAAAAGGCATAACAGACCCAAAAAGGAACTACGTTTCGAGTCGTGCCAAGATGCCGAGAAGGTCGACCTCGCTTAGTTTTGGCATTTTGTCTTTTAAGTTTTGGAGGCGTAAGGGTTGAGGGTTTGGGAGTTTTGTTCGACACTCACACTCGGACAAGCCGGGGGTTCAGGGCTTTAGGCTAACGATTAAGGGTTTAGAATTCTGGTTTAAGGCGTTTAGCGTTTTTTGTCAAGGGCAGGGGTTAGAGTTCAGGCGTAGAGTATGGGGTACTGTTTCCCACCCGCCCAGCTGGTTTACCGGGGTTTAGGTGTTTAGGTGTATCAGAGATTGAGGTGTGTAGTGTGTAGAGAGGCTTCAAGAGAATCGGAGGGTGGCTTCGGGTTCAGGGTTTTGCGGATTACAATTTATGGGTGTGAGGGCGGGCTTGCAGGCAGAGGGCTTTTTCGGAATTTATGCGGGTCATGGTATGGGGCTTCCGGGCATAGCAGGTGATCTGCGATGGAATGTTTTTTTCGTTTACGGCTATGAGATTGAGATGTCAGGGAGAAGCGGATGGTTGCAAGAAGCTGAAGCTTCAGAAGCATACCCCTCGACATCTGCGTAGGCTGGCCGGCTAGCCTTCATGCCCGAAACCAAACAGAAACGCGGTAAGCACATTCAAGCTACAAGCCCTGTTGTCCGAATAAAAGCATGCTTGATATATCATGGACGCATCGTTCTGCCGAGCACATGTAACCGACCCCCTACTACACAGGCTTACCGATCTGAGAAGGCGTCTGCGGTGCACTTCGCTATCAGCATGCTCTTTGCACAGGGAAAGCCGTTGAACCCTCCGAGGCTCCACCTGAAGAACCCAAACACTCTGCACCTACCCGAAACTCTAAACCTTTAGACTAGAATTTGAGGCATTGTGCACTAGATTCATATTGTGTCAGGATGCACCCAAGGAGTTGAAGAGCAATATGCTTCTGAATACCTAACCTTGGATTATAGATCCCTGTGAGGCCCCAGCGCCAGCTGCAGCACTTCCGGCACTGCTTGGGGCCTCAACAGCAAGTTTGCAGCAAAAGGAAGGGGCCGTTACAGGGACTTGAACGACCTACATAGATGAGCATTTCGCAGTGGTTCAGAGGAGTAGTGGATATCGGCCTGTGACGGACAGGGAGCAATGGCACCTGCATCTCGGAGACGAATGCCCCTCTGCCGCATGTTAACATGCATGCATGCATGCATGCATGCATGCATGCATGCATGCGTTTGCAAATTGCGAATGCATGCCCACACACACACACACTACCACACATACACTTCCCTTTGGCGTATCTCTGTGTGATTATGCGTAAGTATGCATGCATGCATGCATGCATGTATGTATGTAAGTATGGATGTATGGATGTATGTCGGTATGTAGGTATCTAGGTAGGTATGTATCGGTGTGTGTGTGTGAGATGTAAGTATGCAAGTATGTGTGTAGGTATGCATGTATGTTTGTATGTATGTATGTATGTATGCATGTGGGTATGTGACTTATGTGTGTATGCCATGAAAGGCAACGTACTGTCCTGTATAGTGTAATATAATGCAATGTAGTGCGTGTAGGTTCGCATGTATGTATGTATGCATGCATGCATGTATGTAGGCAGGTATGAATGTACATACATGTGTATGTATACACACACACACACACATATATATATATAGATAGATAGATAGACATGTAATTTATACACATCGACTGATTCGTCTGTTTCTGCTTGTAGTACACATACACATGCAAGACATATAGTGCATGTGTGTAAGCGTGCTCCGGGTATCTACTTTGACCAGACTTCTGTGGTTGTATGGTTTAGGGTGCTTGGTTTGGTTCTTCAAACTTGGGTTAGCAAGCTGTGCAGGCCCTCACTACAATGCCAGTTTCGATGTTGCTCTACTCGGCCGTCTGAATTTCTGCAATTTTACATGGTTTGTAGAATTTGCTAATAGCTTCCGAGGGTTTTGTCTGGCTCTTTGGGGCAGACCCAGACGCAGTTGGAACAAGTCTGGGCGCCAGTCCCTTGTCACACCCACACGCTATAAACCGAACCTGTATGCTGCATCTGTTTTGCTTTGGCACGTCCCAAGCGCTAATCAGACAACAGTACGCGACACCAAAGGCCAGAAAAGGCTAAACACTTCGCCCGAAGCCAGCCCCACCTCCTGGAGTTCCAAAACCATGGAAGCCTAATGCTACAACCCCACGACCTACTTTGGCCGGCCTTACCCGGCTTCTTTAGGAAATTTAAACTCTTGTCTCTTTCTCTAGTCTCTGCGTGCTGATAGGTCGGTGCGAACATGTATTCGAGTCGGCGGTAGGCAACCTCTGCATAATCAACATGGAACTTTGGGCGGGGGAGCGTGTTCTTGTTGAACACTATGAGAAGCTTACCGGAACCATGGCCTCAAATCCAGTCCAGTGTTGCATCTTGACAGAGGTTTCCCAAAGAAAAAGGGCCAACGTACTAAGGTAGTAGATAATTCATTCGGCCAAACCAACGCAAACCCCAACACCTGAACCTTTGTCGGTTTGGTACTCCATACATTTTACACGGTCAAAGGTGCGATTTAAGTTTCAAGCATATGTTTTGGGGGTTCCGTAAACCCTGGCCCCTGACAACCCCCAACCCGAAACCCCAAGGCAACACAACCGTCCGATATCCGAAAGCTCGCAACCCGAAGCCCTAGAGTCCTAAATGCGAACAGATACGAAACCCCAAACCCTCAATCCAAAACCCGACCCCCTTCCCGGCCTGCAACCCCAAACCCCTAAACCCTAGCCGATAAACCCCAAAACCGAAACCCCTAAACCCTAAGCAACAACAAAAGGCGCCTCACCGAGGAGGTCGGGCAAGTCAGCCGGGCCCCCAAGACCCAGCCGCACGAGCAGCGGGGTGGCCACGGCCTTTTGGACGGCTTCTGGGTTCGCTTTGCTGTTGAGTTTTTGGAGGGGCGCGGGAGTCGGGAGTTTGGGGTACGGCTTTGTGGGGTGTACGGTGGCAGCGCCTAAGGTGTTGGGTATTGGGCGCTCGGGCCGAACAGCTAGCATTTAGGATGTAGGGCAAAGACTTCAGGGATGTTAAGGGCTTAGGGGGTAAGGGTTCGAGATAATTAATCGGTGTGTAAGCTTCATGTCGTGTGATTCTGGGCCCTGGTTTAGGCCTTAGGGTGGCAGTTCCGTGCCAGTGCATGTGCAGAGATTTCGAAGCCAAATCGCACGGCTGATAATTCAGCTCTGGGTGTGGCGAAGTCGCGGGTCGCAAGGTGCTTGAACAGTTCCCCCTTCCAGCCCTGCGCATGCACGCTTCGTTTGCTTGCCCCTAGGCTGAGCCCTGTCCCAAAAACCCCCGAAGAGCCAACAAAAGGGCAAACAAAACCCTAAACCCTAAACCCTAAGCCCTAAACAAACAAATGCCTGGCACTTCACGTTGGATTTCAGAGACAAGAACTCCTCGCTGACGCTGTCCTGGTGCTTCCGGGTGTCGGATGCTGGGCTGCCACAACAGATTAGGGGTTTAGGGGCGGGCGTGTTGTTACGGGTATAACTATAGTGTAGTTTGCAGAGTTCTTTCCCGTGATAAAATAGCTTCTGGGTTTTTGGGGACCACAAGAAAGCTCCTCGTCGAGAACAGGCGCCGTTGACACAGATTAAAGATCGCTTCGAAACCAAACTCTTATGGCTTTGTATCAGAACATCCTCCTCGTCTTCGTACGCGTCGGATTTGAATTACGGTACATACAGAAAACCCTAGGGTTTTTGGGCTGGTATGCAGCCCACACCACAGGCTTAGCCGGCTTGGGGGATTTCCTCAATGCACCAAACCCAAGGACCCGAAACGTTGAATAGAGTACACCATTTCATGCTTTCAGTCCCTACAAGGCAAGCGTCTCGAGATGTCTCGAGGCCATCAGTATCGCATGCCTAGTGCCGTTTCAGCACAGGAGCACTGGAACAAAGTCTCCCAGCCAATGTCGCGCCGGCAACAAGAATCGATCTGCAGCACTAAACCCGCGAAACACGGCTTCTCTGGCAGCCCTAAAACCGAAGCTCGGAATTGTCCTTGACCTGCTTCACGGCCTCGATCATCATCGGGCTGCCCTGCCTTCGTGCGCAGCATGTGCTTCTCGGTGACTTGCGGGCTTCGGACTACATGCAGCGACTTCTGGGTTTCGGGCTTAGCTTCCTGGACGCTTTCCGAGTTTATGACTTCCACTGAAAGGAGGACTGGGTCGGGGATGAACTCTTGTCACCAATGTCTTTTTTTATTTGGAGTTTTCTTCGCGGTGCATGTCGGCTTAAGACTCCTCAGCCTGAGGACCTAAACCCGAAGCCCTCGCGCGAAATTCATCGTTGCCTCGCGAATCTGCTGTCTCAGCTGTTGTGTTTATGTTGGGAGATGTGCTCTGAAGTGCTACAAATGTCACCTGTTTGCCTATACCGCTTTTGGCTCCGCTGATGCGAGCTCGGCGTCTTCGGTTTGGATTTACACTTTTGGGGTGTATGGGATCCAGTGGCGCGAAAGTGCTGCCAGGACATGCTTGGCTGCAAAATTTAATGACACGAGGCCTCCCGCACACTCTTGCTAGGTTGCTCGTTCTTCAAGAACGAAGCTGCCCTCGCACCACTCTTCACGTATCGCTGCGATGGCGAAGCTGCAAGGGCTTGGCTGCTTGACAAACCCAAGAAGCCAAGTTGCCTATCTAAAGCCTTGCTTAGTATAGGACAAGCAACCTAAACTCCATAGGCTCTGAGCTCCAATTATCAGAACTAGCCTATGTCCCCTAAAGTTAAAGCCTAAGCCTTAAACATAGGATACATAGCTGTAACTGTAACTGGGCTTCTTGGAAGATGCAACACAGCGGCGTCTTCATGGCATCCGCAAGCCTTTGAGAGGGCTTGGCTGCTGCTCATGGGGCTTTGTAAAGCTGTTGCATAAGGTGTGGGATGGCTCTTCATAAGGCTACTTTTCAGGGTTTCGAACAAAACCGGATAAGAGGAGCTTCGTTACTTGTTGTGACTTGCTGACATTCAATAAGGCCTGCGATAGCTGCATCCGTGGCAACGAAACCCTGTCGACGACCACTTTGTGTTTCATGTGTTTTTTCGCTTTCGGGTTGGGGCTTCGGTCTACAGCCTTGCGCGATTGGAATTACGGAGTTTGGCTGGGTTTGTAGGTCTTCGGACTTCGGACTGGCTGAGGATTCCGGTCTCAGATGTTGGGTCTTCGGAAAGCTTGCAGGCAAAATACTGAGGTTAAGATACAACGTTTGGCAGGCTATCCAGACTCTAGACTCTAGACCCTGTCAGGCCTGGCTGCGAGAGAACCACAAAACAGCTTTTAATGGATACCCTTATACCTAATCGACAACCGAGCTGCAAGTTGCCACAACCGGGGGCAATAAAGAGGGTTTAGGGGTTTAGGGTGAGCGTTCCCAGAAAATACCTTTCAGGTACTGGACTCTTGGAGCTAACACCACTCAGAACAGCTACTAGTAAACACCTAAACATGTCGCAGTATGTGCAGTTTCCTCCGCCTGTATATTAAACCTTGTACAAACTCCCAAAGCCTCCAACGCCTCAAAGGAATGAAAGCCTGAGCTCTGAAAGCTCGTCTCCCGAACAACGCCAAAACGCGAAACCTTCAAGCCGAAATCCTGACAATCAAACCGAAGAGCCTCAAACCTAAATCCAAACTTCCGATCCACACTCTAAACCTCATGCAAAGCACAGATCTTAGATAATTAACTCTAAGAAGACCTGAAGAGAACATAACATCCTCTATGATAGTCTATAACCCTACATAACCCTTGGAAGACACCGTAGGATCCTACAGAACCAGGACCCATCGAAAGCCCGCCCTGGATCCTGAACCGTAGACACCCCAAATTTCTGTTCTAACCCTGATCGGGAACCCTCAAAGAGCCCGTACATAAACAACATATAAACACCGAAGAGATATCCTGAAAACCTCAACCCGACATATCCTAAAATCTGAAATCTGAAAACAATCCTAAATCCGAAAAAAACAGCCCTAAACCCTAAAACCCCAAACCCTAATTCCCAAAAAAAGCAGCCCTACAGCAAGACTCAAGATCCCAAAGCCCCTTATCTGAGAGCTAGGATTAGGGGGACCCTTGGGGATATAGACCCTCTCAATAAGGTCCCTTTTAAGAGAGCCAAAAGTAGGGTTCAGAAGGGGTACCCTTTAAGGGGTACCCCTAATCCCAAACACCCTAAACCCTAAACCCTAAAATACTACCTATTATCGCCGAACCAAGGAGCTGGAGGAGCCTAAGGAGGCCCTCATCCGCTGACGCCCCGCCATCGAGGCCCAAGTAGAGACGTCGGACCTTACCCAGGGGCTCCAATGTAGTTCCTTTTTGGGTCTGTTATGGTTTTTTTGGCAAGGAATTATAGTATTATTATAGTATACTATCCGAAAAGGAACTACATAGGAGCCCTTGGGTAGTTACATCGCTGTTCTGTACTAAGCCACTACACGTCATGCAACCACGCTTTGTAGAGCCGCTGCCGCTTGACCTGAACTCTCCCAAACCATGCCCCCCTTAACTTTTAGACTCTACCTTAAGAACCCAAAACCCACTTTTTTGTAGGTTCTTATTATAAACCCTCATATGGGATTTATAGGGACCCCACAAAAAAGTAGGTTTTGGGTTCTTAAGGTATAGCCTAAATGTACTAAACCCTGCCTTAAGCTCTAGACCTCAAGCCCTGCACTCGATGCGCGCCCAATTCAGCCCAGCGCAGCGTTCAGAGAACCCAGGATGCTAGACCGGGAAATGGAAGCCTGGAGCATCAACCCTATGAGGTTTTGTAAGAAAAGTTGTGTGCTACACCCAAGGCCAGCGAATTCGGGGAAGTTCCCAAAAACTCTTTTCCTGCGGCCCGGACTTGGTGACTTGGGTAATGGCCCACACCCTAATCCCTAAGCCTCCAACCCTGGACCCCACCAGGTCCTAACACCCTACGCAAACCCAGAAAGTCCCGGAAGACTCGGCACGGAAATGGGACTGCCGAGGCTGCCGCTCTGTCGCAAAGCATCTCCGACAGTTGAGATCCTGACACCTCTGCTTTTCTGTCTGGTGCTTAGTAGGGAATGGGGGAATGGGTTATAGGGACTACTATAAGGGACCTTAAGGGACTATCATAGGGATCCATTCCCCCATTGGCTCTAAGTCAGGTTTGATCCACGAAAAGGAAGCATGTGAGCTGTTGAATGCCCGGGGAGGATGCAGTTGAGGATCTACTCTCCCCATGCCTCCACTATCCCCAGACCTAAGCTTCTTCAACATCAGCCGGCTGAAAACCCTATCCTAAAGCGCACGTCCGAACTCCGAACCCCAGCCCCAATCCATAAAACCCTCAAACTAAAACCCTGAACTTCTAAACTGCCGAACCGCAGCCCGAGCTAACAAAGCCTTCTGAAACGCTGCAAACCTACCCCAACATGCAAGCTCGTGTTGAGGCGCGCTCATTACGTAATCAGGAGAAATATTTTGGCATAAATATGGTTAACTTCGTACACTCAGATGGAACAGACTCGAGGTCTTATCGTATGCAGCCCTTGTAGTATGTTTTAGAAATAGTACGTACCCCTTTGAAGAGCCCCTAAACCCGGGCTAGTAGAAGCTTTGCTGTAAGGCTTATACTAGAAAGCTTGCCGTACAGGTGACCGCTGAGGGTTTAAGATTTCGACTTGGAATGTTAAGGCCCTTGATGAAAGTCGAAGTCTACTGGCAGGTTTGAGAAGAGCGATGTGGCACCAAGGCATGTGTGAAAGTTGAAGCTTCTGCGCTTGTGTCATCTCCTTCGGGCGATTGTCGTTTAGACCAGATGGCTTCAGGCTTCTCTGAGCAATAGTGACAACAGTGCGAAGCCATCCTCCTGAAAGTTACATCTTTGCCGCAAGGCTTTGTCACTTTGGGTTGGGTCCGTTTCTATAACATATTTTGTTAAGATCAGTATAATATCTTCATACATATATCTTCATACATCTACTACGCATATAAATATAAATATAATGGCATAATCAGAAGACATCAGAACATTATTCGTAATATTATAGCTCTATACATATGATCGGGTATATGTAAAAGCTACTACAGTAAGCCACCGGTCCAAGTGCAATGCAGCTCAGACCTGACAAATACAAAAAACCCCCCTTTTCAAGGGCCAATGTATTAGCATCCCTGCTACTATATGGGTAGTTCTCTATAAGTTAGGATCCCTTTTAATTTGGGACCCCAATATAGTGAGGAACCCTTCTGAAACGGATCCTAAAAGGGACCCTAGTTTAGAGAACCACCCATATTCCGTGAAGGAGGTTTGCGAATCAGAGGTCTACATTAATTACTGCATGGTTTCGGCATTCGGGAAACCCAGAACACGTAACTTTTTTGACTCCTAAAACTGTCGGGTACGAGTTAAGGCTTGGCTAAGGTGATAGATTTAGAGTTTTGAGGGGTTAGGCCGGCGTTGAGGTGCATAACTTCAGGGTTTGGGCCGGAAGATGTCGTTCAGACAGGCCTGGGTGGAGGCACATTGAGATGCAAGGCGATCTGCAGCCTTCCGACGATTTTACAGATGGGCAAAAGGTCTTAGCCTTAATGTAGGTGTCGGACTGATCAGTACTGGAACCTCCTTATGGTCCCCAACATCACTTTACCACGATTACTCCGAAACATGACTTTAACTATGAAACCTGTAGTAAATACAAACAAGCCAGCCTGAAACATAAGCTGCCAGGCGGGAGCTGGTTCCTAAGAATAAATGATTAGGGGTCAGGACCTGCATTTGGTGCTTGTTGGGTCCAGGATGACAGAGTTCGAAGCCAGGTTCGAACTTTTTAACAGAGCTGAGTTCGAGTTCAACCTAGGTTGAACCCAGGTTGGCAACGCGACGGAGTTAATACTGGGGCCTGAAAGAGATGGGGTTTTTGGGATATGCTTAAGGATATTTCCAAGGACGATGCTTAACTACTTCTTCCGACCCCTATGTCATGAGGCGTAGTTTAAAGGCTTGTATTTTTGGGGCTTAGCCGCTGGATTCATAGAAGGAGGCCTGAGGTGGCAATCGCAGGCGACCTGAAACCACGGAAACCCTGAAACGATGAGCTCGCCTGCCATTTCCCCTCAGCATGCTGGAGCCTGCTAGAGAGTCCCACGAACATGACTTGCATCTTGAAGCCACAACCTTCAAGCCCAGAAACTCAACACCTGAGTCCTTCAACGCATGGCCCGGAACATGAATACATGAATCCTAAGCCCCCAGGCCCTGGGCTGTTGCCTAAGCTGGAAACCAATCCTAAATCCAGGTTCACTCCAATTTCTCTTCTTGACCCTAAGACTCGAACTCTCTCTCTCTCTCTCTCTCGCGCTCTCCTGAACCCCACACCCTATAACTAACCCTGAAGTACCCCCAAAGCCAGAACCGAGCCCTTCACACCAATTTGGGGTTACGACTCACACAGTCGCGCAAGACAGGCATGTCTTCAGGGGTCCGAGACTCATTCGGGTTTAGGGTTTAGGGTCATAACCCGGTAAAACATGTAACAGCGCTACCAACCTCTTACCATAGGAGCCTTAATAGATGGACTGGGCTTTGGCGAATCTTGTAAGTAGTGCACTTCTGATATGGATCCGTAAGGGAGAGTATTGCAAAACTCCTCAAGCGCCCTTGTTACCCACACCTCAGGAACCGCTAGACCCCAAACCTGAAACCCTAAACCCTAAACCCTAAATCCCTACATAAACCCTAACAGCCCTATAGACCCTAAGATAGACCCTAAGCCTGAACCCTCAACCCTAAACCCTAAACCCTAACAGGCCCTATAGACCCTCAGATAGACCCTAAACCGCCTCCGGTCCGGGAAGGACATCTCCCTTGGAAATTCGTTCCACGAATCCTCCGGGTTCCCGGCTTAGGCTTTGCTTACCAGTTCGGGTTTAGGGGTATTAGGTTTTGGGGTTTTGGGGTTTAGGGGTTTAGGGGTTCGGGGTTTAGGGAATTGGGGATTAGGGGTTTTGGGGGTTTGGGGTTTAGGGGTTTTGCGGGTTTAGGGGGTTTAGGGTTTAGGGGTTCAGGGTGTAAGGGTTTGGAGTTTAGGGGTTTAGGGGTATTGGGGTTTGGGGTTTAGGGTTTACGGGCTTTGGGGGTTTAGGGTTTGACGGTTTAGGGGTTCAGGGTTTAGGGTATAAGGCCTTATAGTAGACCCCCAAAAGTGGGAAACCGCATTAGGGACAAGAAGTGCCGGGATTTCCTGTGCATTCGTCTTAAAGATTGAGGCTATTGGGTTTCCAGCTCTTGGGCTTCTACTGCAATACTGCGCATAGAGGTTCCTTGAAAAGGTTCGATCAGGATTGCGAATGCAGCTTTCTATCAGGGTTGAGCACAGGGGGCGTTATAGTTGCTACCGGGCTTTGGGGTATATTTTTCGATGGCTGAATTATGAAGGAGGGCCGCCAAGAATACTACTACTCCCTATTCATGCGGTCTTGTTGTCGGCTCCTTCCTACGAAGGCATCTGTAGGAAGACTAACTTTCGGATTCTGGGCTTTGGAGCTGAGGTTCTCGGGTTACGGTGTGGGATGGTAAGGTGTGGAGGACTGGGATGTTATGGCGGTGGACTTTTCGGCGTTGAGGATGCATAGCGGGGGTTCTGAGGCCCCGGAAATTTAGCTGGACGGACAGTCAGACGGGATCAAGTCTGCAAACTTCCGCTGCCTGCATGGGTACACTGCTTTACATCATGCGGAGCTTTAAAGTTCACCACCCAGGGTAAATATGCCTGGACTGCTGAGCCAAACGTCCGTCGTCCCCGCAACAGGTGCAGATTCCCCTGGGAGGGGAAAACTCATTCTACTTAAACCCTAAACCCTAAACCCTAAACCCTAAAGTCTACCAATGGACCGCACATCTTCCAAGTGAATCTGCTGCAAAAGGGCACACACATCTTGGCCCAGACTGCTGCAGTCGTCAAAGCAGCAAAAGATGCGCTGCCCTCAAGGAGCCTCGAAAGCAAATGTCTGTACGTAGGCGTAGAGTTTAAGGCACAGCCTTTCAAGTTGCATCGGAAACCAGAAAGAGTGCACCGAAATCTTACACCTCACCGCAGTATTTCGAGACGATACCCCGCAAGCTCGTTAAACCCCCAAGCCCGACACCATCCTTCTGAACGCCGCCTTAAATCCGAAGGACTTACTGCTCGGACCCTGTACACACCCGAAACCCGAAACCCACACCTTATGACACCCGGAACACTAAAAACCCTTAGGCCCAATCCTCCCTAAACCCTAAACCCTAAACCCTGAACCCCAAACCCTAAGCCCAAATCCTCGGAGGGACCCCGGACCTGTCAACTTAGGCCCCTGACCTGGCCACCAACAGGTGCAAGAGCATACTTGGATTCTCGAAACTCAGACTCCCCTTGTAGAGGGATCCCTCTTTAGAGTGCCTAGTTGCAACTTATGGTCCCTTATGAACCTTCCCACATGGAGATTTAAGAAGAACCCATGACTCACAAAGCAAAAGCGCTGCTGATAGTCGGCAATAACCCTAGCAGAAACAACCCCAATCCAAAATACTCACTCTCCAAACTGTACATAATGACTATGGCAGCCCTCCCTATATGTTTCATGTACTCCCCACAGTGCCTTTTGGACCGCTTGTGCTGCTGGCCTAAGAGGAGTTCATTCTCCCAGACTTGTACCGTAAGGATTTGGAGGATCCTGTCTTGCTTTCGGAGTTTTGGGCTAAGGAATTTGGGTTTAGGGTTAATCGATTTAAGGCCTCCTACCAGGTTAAGCGACTGGAAACGGTTCCAGATTGGGCCCACCAAACCCATAGAGACTCAATGCGAATGCTTGCATGACATGGCTGTTGAATCCCGAACACATCATGCATTTTGCGTGCTGTTTGAGGCTTTCAGGAGTCATACCCTCAACCCTCAACCCCGGGTTGGAAGCTTGGGGCCCAAGGGCTGTCAAACTGTGTCCCCCAAGTCCGTACTGCCAAGTTTGAGGACGTCAGCGACAGGGTTTTTAAGGTTGAGGGTATAGGTTACAGGGTTTCGAATTTAGGGTAGTAGGGTTCCTCGGCCCTAAACTCTCAACTCTGAACCTGCTGAGCCTTAAACTACGTACAGTTTGCAAGGCCGGAAGCAACCTAACACCAAAACCCAGACCCAAGCAGCCCTCATGCCCTGGCCCTGCAACTTTGTGGTGGCATCTGGTCTCCGCGGCCCTTTACCCTAAACTTTAGGGTTTAGGGCCTAAACCTTAGAACCTTCATCATCTTCGGATTTCTACAGGGGGCCATTATCCAGACCTTCACGGAACCCTTTTCTACTGAAGCCCAAAGCTATACCGAGGCCTCCCGGAACTGAGATCTGCTGTCGCAGGAACTCCTACCGCTGCATACCTCTTGGTTGATGTGGGGTTAGGTTTAGGGTTTAGGGCTGTTGGTGAATCCCCAAACGGATACACCGCTCTTACACGAAAAAAAACCCTAGGAGTGATGATCCATCACGGAACGTCTCGCTTCTAGCAAAACTTACAAAGGGGTCTGCGGCTGTCCAGATGTTATAGCCGAAACCTAGATCTTTGATACATCCTGATACAACTGACAACTGGAATCTTGAGCTTTATTCAACCGAGAGCCCTAGTAATGCCTGCACCATGCATGAACCTATGGCCACTGACATCCACTGAGTTCGAAGCTGCACCACCATAGCCACCCAAAGCTCCACCCGCACCTAGTGGCGATGCTGAAACAAGACGCCTTTTGAGTTGTGCTTTCTTTGGTGATTGGAATGAGCAGCGGTCAAAGTGGCAAGCCAATACAGAACAACCTGCAAACTGCATTCAGCTGCTTTACAGCCAGGGAGTGTTTACAATGCAGGGCCCAACAAACCGTGGAATATGTGCCGGTTTTGCACAGCTTCACCTGCAACAGGCTCAGAACTCCAACGCGCATGGGATCTCGTAGGGTCTCTGTTGGTACGGGCTTGAGGAATTCTGGCATAAGGTTCCGAGCTTAAGATTTTTGTGTGTAAGGTTTAGGTGATGGGGTGTTTTACGGTTTGGCATGAAGGCAAGCATTCATTGGCCTGGAAACACTGCGTGCCTGCTAAGCTCGACTTCCACTCACACTCTCAACACCAGGAAACACACAACCGATGCGGGTGCCAAATGCGTTCTCTGAACGGAAGAGAATAGTTGGAGTGGCGTTGTCAGTGTTCGTCGGCTTTTCTTCGTTGTTGTCGCTCCTTCAATCCCAAGACGCAAACCCTACATGTCCTTTCGGACGTGCGAATGGATTTGTCGCTGCATTTCGAACAACCCATTTCGCACATGCAAAACAACAGCTTAGGGTCTTTGCAAATCCCGGACCCTCATCTGGATTTCGATCGCCTAAACTTCAACCAAAGCCACCAAACACTGGATAATGGGTCCCTGTGTCATCTCCGATCTTTAGGCGTGGGGGGCTTATACTTTCGTTCTAAGATCCGCTGCTGTGACCCTGCAGACCTGCCGTTCGGGTTATCCGGCTCGCCGACATCGTATGGTTTAGGGTTTGGGGTTTAGGGTTTAGGGCCGAATCCCGGGCTTTTGAACCTCATGGTCCTTCGGAGGCTTCGGGCTTTCTGCCCTGTACTATAAGCCGTATGCGGGACATGCATTTTCTCGTACATCCTGTCAAAGCGCTTGCAGCGGCCCCTGTAAACCTGAAGCCCTATAGAGCCTAGGCCGTAAAACTTGCATTGTAAAACCCAGGGCCTGAACCTTGAGACTTTGTTGGGCAAAGCTCTACGCACACCTCAAATGACATATGAACCGACACCCTGATATTAAACCCTACAACGTAAAGACCCTGAGCGTACTTTCACTGAGGCCAGGCCTGGGAATTGGCCGCCCGGGGCGAAAGGGGGTTGCATAGGCGCCCCTGCAGGATCGTGCATTCATGTAATAAGGGCGTAGGCCGTGAGGTCTGTGAGTTCAAGTTCGCTCTTGTAATTAGGCTCGGAAATTAAAACTCGGAACCTTTCTTGGAGTGTTGAGCTCACATTCCTTAACGCACCCCCGGAAAATTACGTCTTCGTAATGCGTACTCGCAGCCTGTAGCCTGAAGCCACCGTCTCGCTTCGGACTTGGATAATGTGGGGTTAGGGCAACGGCTAGGGTCTTAAAGATGCACAGTGTTTACCGCCTTCCGGCTTCACTCAGGGTGCAGCCTTTTTTGCCCGCCGGTGGGCCCACCTTGGTATAGTGTCGGGTCATGCATCGAAGTGCTTCGCGGAGCAAGGTGGTAGATGATGATTGCTTCCGCCGCTACTGTTGCTACCACTACCATCTCAACAACATGGGATCCCTACCAAGACCCGAAATAGTACCCCCCAACATCGGTTTGCAGCACCTCTGAGTGGCTCCTGGACGTCGACATCTGCGTCCCTTCGAAGCTGCTGAAAATTGTCTATGCAACTGTACTTGAACCTGAAGGACCACATGACCCTCAAGAAGTATGGGTCTCCATACCTTGTGGTGCTAACCGTATACCGGACATCAGCCACAAACCGTCTAGGGCTCATATTTGGTCCTTGAGGTGAGTCTTCCCAAAAAAAGCATGTCTTCCCAAGACAAGCCAGTGGCCGTGCGGCACCACATTGCATTCAGCCCTGCACCCGCTGAGCCATGTTCTCACTATTCAATGAGAAGAGTAGGATCACAATGACAGCTAAGACATGTAGCGCCCACAACTAGACTGGGGTCTGTTGGTCTTGGGATTTGAATAGAAAAAGACACGTGATGGAGCCCCAAGGCATAACATTTATGAATCAAAAAGAATATAAGCAACAGCAATCGCGTCTGCTGTGGTCGCTGTGGTAAAAGTAATTGTTGAAGAAGACTTCGCTACACCCGACAAGCAATTACATTCAGACTGTCGTCACATTCAACGCGCCGGCGAGGCCTCCGAATGGCACCCACAACAAAGATTCAGCAACAAAACCCCATTCACAACTGGTCCGAGAGATCAAACAACATTAAGCGGACCAGGTGACCCAATTAGACTGCTGATTCGCAGGGGAATGAAGGCTCTTCGGCCGGGAAGAAGGAGGAATCAAAGAGAGAGAGAGAGACAGGAGAGACATGAAGAGAGCCTATAGGTTTTATCTGTGCATATGTATGTATATATGTATGCATGTATGCAATAGACACACGTAAACATACGTGGCTCTGGGAAAAAGTCATGGAGCTGCTTAGAAAACGCTACAACAAGATGTGCTACAGTGACGACACCTACTGGCAACGTCGCAACAATGGCATCTACGGCTGCTGCAGCTGCGACTCCTATTCCTGACAGTGCAGCAATTGCTGCTAGCTCCTACTCCTACTCCTACTCCTACTCCTGCTACTGCTCCTACTCCTACTACTACTACTCCTCCTCCTCCCCCTACTACTACTACTACTACTACTACTACTACTACTACTGCTACTACTCCTACTCCTACTCCAACTCCTGCTACTGCTACTACTACTACTACTACTACTCCTACTCCTACTCTTGCTACTACTACTACTACTACTACTACTACTACTACTACAACTACAACTACTACTCCTACTCCTGCT